GACTATCGCGACGAAATCTGAAAAAATTACCGACGAAAAAGTATAAAAAAGGTTTGTGACAATCTGAATTTTATGCGTTTTGTACTTTGCAACAGCTACAAAAGAGCTTATTGTCACGGGTTTGTCTGTATGTGTGCTTGTTTTTATGTGTACGCGTGTGCGTGGGTGTGTATGTTTGGGTGTATGTGTGTGTGTGGGTGTATGTGTGGGTGTGTGTCGGGGTTTTTTTTTATAAGCGCATCTCACGTATTCACACCAGTGATTAGGATATGCATGTCTGCACTGAACGTTCAGTGACCATTCCTGGTCAGCTATGTTCTTACGTTCAAAAAATTGTTGTAAGTTGCTTTTGATTTTATATTAATGCGGGAAAATTTTGCGCCAAAAAAGCTTCGTGGACAAAAACGGTTGGTTCCGCGCTTTATTGATATTTATTGTTCTGGTATTGAATTTTACACTGTGCGGGCACATTGAGTTTTCAGGTGATGCTGAGGAATCATGTGCAATTTGCATTGATGAATTTGTTGAAGGCGAAAAACTACGCATTTTACCTTGTGGCCACGGTTTGTAACTTTTAATTTTTTTTGGTAAAATTTTGAATTTAGCGGTAATTTGTAGTTTATTGTTTTATTAGTCATATTGCCAAGGCGGTATGTGCCATAATTAAGAACTGGACTGGCCATATGGCAAGAATAAGATTGTCAGATGAGCAAAATTGAATGAAACCTGCTTCATATTAAACGAAAAGTAACGGTTAGTGCGGTAAAACGATATGCGCGAACGTTGGAGCGAAGTTATTTGAGCGGGAAAAACTCAAAATATTAAAGAACGAAAAAAAAAGTTGTCAGGGGCTTCGTAGAAGAAACTTTACGTTGATGGTATTGCAGGTGAACAGTGTAGAATCAGACATTAATTCAGACTTTCGATTCCACCTAATCAAACGTCGACTGCGAAATGGGGCACTGTACTGATGAATCCCATACCATTTCGTATCGATTCTGCCGTCTGTGTTTACAGCTCAGGGATGAAACATAGTCAGTCTGCTAAGTAACTGTACCCACAGGCTTGCTTATTTGGAAGATCTAAATGGCACTTCTTCCACTGTGTTTTCATTAATTATCAAAATTCGACTGTGTTCCTCTCCACGGTGGTGGGCCAGTAACACCAAACAAAGTGCATATGTTAACTCACATAGACGATTTTAGGCCCCCCGTCCTCTTCCAATCTCCTAGCCAGGGATATTTATTGTTTAA